TTCTGCCATTTGTTTTCTGAGCAAGCTCAGGCGAGTTGTTTTACTTGTGTTTCCTCACCTGCAAAAGAAAAAAAATTCTACTGAATAATCTCAAACCTTTGTATAAGAACGTAAAGCCTAAAAAGTGTCATAAGCCTTTTGAAAGACAAGGAAATCCAAAGCCTAAGTAGATCACATTAAAAATTATAGTTGGGGCCAGTTGTGGTAACTCACACCTGCAACTCCAGCACTTTGGGAGGCCGTGTTGGGAAGATTACTTGAACCCAGGAGTTCAAGACTAGCCTGGGCAACATAGCAAGACCCAATCTTTAGAATAAAAAGAAAGAAAGAAAAAGGAAAAAAAAGAAAAATGTTAAACTGTGGTTTGGTCTGATCTGAAGTCAAAGTATCATTCAGTGCTAGGAAGGGATAATTCATCCCACAGAGACAATAAAAACAACGAGCATTTTGAGGCACCTGCACACCATGAGGCAGCAGAGCTCAGTGCTCAGTAGATAAGGGCCTGTGCTCAGGAGCGAAACTTCCTGGACCAAGTTTCATCCCTCGCCAGCTCTGTGACTCTGGGCGAGTGGCGTCTCTTAGAGCTTCTGTTTCTTCATTCATAAATGGGGGTCACATCACATTTCTCGCTGGATTACTGGGAGGATCACATGTCTGACAGAGGTGACTAGGAAACAGAGGTTGTCGTGTTCCCTTAAATTACAGGTGATCCTTGTTACAACCCTGGAAAAGCAATATCCACCATTCCTATTTTACCAGAAAAAAAGAATGTCCACAGCAGCTAAGGTGTATGCTCAAAGTCACTCAGTGAGGAATCTTCTCATTTCAAAGCTCACACTACACCGCAGTTGTCTCTTCCATACTGAAACCCGCAAGACACCTAGAAAAAGAGTCCATGTTCTCCTACCAAATCAACAGACTTAGATGGCAGCCATTACAGGCAAAGTCACAAATCAAGTTTCAGGCATAATGACTACTGCACATAAGCCTGACCATGGGCAATAGTATATAGGTTCGTTATAAGTTGACAATATGATCTGATTCTTCCCCTAAAAATGGTATAGATCTCAGGCTTCCCCTTGGACTCCTCTGGATAATGAGTGCTGCACAATTGTATTATGTGGATGAAGCCTGAAAAACAGAGACATCCCTGGGGAAGGCAACAAACCAGAGTGATTTCCTCTGACCTTTACTCTATAAGAGCTCAGTCACCTGAACGGGGACTGGGGCAACCTGACGGGAAATGTTAGTTTATACCAGCCAGTACTAAAAACAGACAGAGGCTCATGGATAGATACATACATTTGACCCTTAGGCCTCAGCTCTCCCAGCATGTTTTAGAACTTTTTTCCATTTCGAGGCTGAGCTCATTTGTTTTCATCTGTTTGCCATGAGGACCTGCCCTCAAGCCCACACCTGCTGCATTAGAATTTTAGTTTTAAATATTTTTCCAAAGAGTGGGGCCGAAGATGGGGTCAACAGGTGGGTTATACCCCTGGTTACATAGAGATTTCCCCCAGAGTGATTATACACCATCAGGATTTGCCATGTATGCATTTGTCTGCCCAGTGAACACAGCATGTGAAAAGGAAGGCTCTCTTCCTGGCCCCAAAATGCACCCCCCCACTGGTTTGCTGGGTGGAGCCTGAAACTTCTCCATTATGAAGGGATTTGGAAGTCCTAAGGAGACTTGGAAGTCAACATCTATCTCCCTCCACATGTAGATGACTTTGCTGAAGGGCACCCAAGCAGCGTCAAAAATCTGAAATAAATTGGGTACCATAAGCGGCTCCTACACAGAAATCCTTGAATATGACATTCTTTAGACCTGAATCCATGATATTCCCTGCCTGGGAAGCTGAACACAGTGCTGACTTGTGTTCCCCTAGGCTGCTGACCCTGAGTTAAGCACATGAGCAGTTTTGACTGATTAAAATAGAATATGCATTTCTTTCTGTTGTTTTTTTTTCCAAACAAATAAAAGTACGCCAAAATTACAGCCATGGCACCCAGGCAGCTGAGGGAACTATTTACTATCTAATGGTCATGGACCACCTGCCCTGCTCTAAGCCCTTTATAATTACTTGACTCTGTTCCTGCTGCTTGGGCCAAAGCCTCAAGCATCCATCCTCTCTCTTCACAGCTGAATCTTGATCAAAGTTTAAAACTGGGAAAGTCCTCGGAGAGCATCCTGTCTTGTTTCACAGAAAGAGAATCAAGGCCCTGGGAGGTCACAGAGTCACCCTGCCTTGTTGTGGGAGCACTTCAGTCTCAGTTGTGTCCACTTTGATATGAGGGACTAGGCCAACTTGTCCTTTGGATCACCAGAGAGCTGTGCACCAGAGAGCTGTGCTGGCACCTGAGAGGGGTCATGAAGCTGGGAGGCAGTGCCTCAACCAGATACAGATAAAAATAGGAGCCTGCCCAAGAGCAGACTCACTCGGTGTGATTGGATAAGAGGAGCCATTCCGTGCACTCACCTGATACCCCACCTGAGCTCCTGGAAGAATGGGCACACCGGCCACCCGAAGGGCAGAGTTGGAGAAACAGCCAGACACACTGAGGGCAACCCTGCTGAGCTGAGGCTGCGTGAGCAGTTTGCTGTGGGGAGGGAAACCCATTTCTGCAGCCACCTGACAGATGGGGCTATGTGGTATGATTAGAAGCAGGAAGGTTCTCCTCTTGGTCCCTAAATACATCCTCTACTGGTTTTCTGATTGGATCCTGAAGCCTTTCCATTATGAAGGAACTTGAAGTGCTAAGGAGATTTGGAAGTCATCTATTCCATCTACCTCCACATGTAGATGAGAAAGGAAAAGCCCAGAGAAGTTAAGCATCTCAACCAAGGGCAAACATTCTATTCTAGAACTTCCCGAAGGAGGATCTCTGAAATAATAGTCTCACAAGATGTTCTTTGAAAAACAATTTTTTAGGGTTCTGGGATCAGATAATTCAGACAATGCTTCATTCCCTATTCTCCTTTGTCTGGTGTACATTCATTCTCTATTGAACAAATATTTATTCAGTCTCAAAATGAAGAACACACTTTAGGGATCTGGTCTAAACTGGCAAAGCTGAAACCAGCCCTTGAGTGTTCAGAACTTGAAAACAGAAAATACACAGCAACCTCAAGCAAAAGAAATATTCCTTGAGACTAACCATTCATGATGTTTTGTTATAAAATGATAATATCCTGGAGAGTGAGACATGCTGACTGTGTCCATCCATGGCCTTTCACATGACATATTTGTTGAAGGCTTTTCTAAGCAGAGACTTGTAATCATATGGCCAAACAGGTAGTCACTCTAGGCAAGAAGACCTGAAGTGAAATGAGGCCACCTGGAGACAGGGCTGTCTGAGGAATGATGAGCCAGAAAGGGGGAGAATGCAAGAAAGAAGAGACAAAACATCAGCAAAATCACTCCACGAACCTTGTCAGGTGAGTCAATGATCACCTCTCATCAAAAGGAAGCAGAAAGCCAGCACAGCCCCTCCAAATCAAACAACACTTCCACTGAAACACACCCTTGCCACCCCTCCCAAAGCAAATGCTCATTTTGAAAATTAATTATTTTCTACAGACTTTATGTTCCAGATTTCTCTCCTGGGCAATCATGTAAGATCTATGAAAGAATGCATTTTTAATCGAATTTGTTTTAATTATGAAGAAAGGGTGGCTCCCCTACCAATTAAATCATGCTTCAATTAGTACAACTATCATTTGGGTCATTATTTTAAGTGTTTGAAGTCTCTACTTAAATAAGGTCACTTTCAATTTGGTAAACACTCCTACGTCAGTCACCCAAGGAATGCTGAGTAAGTAAACATAATCAAGCATTAGCTAACTAGCCACAAATCCACTTGATTTTATTAATTTCTCTCCTGGCAAAGAAAAGAAGAGAAACCATCAGAGACATTCACGCATCATTCATTCAGTAAATATTCATTACCCACAGCTGCCATGTTTCATTATGCTATTAATATTGTTATTAATATTCACAACTAAGTTATATATGAATGTTTAAAAAATGAAATCCAATTTTCCCAAAGATGTAAATTGCAGTTCCTGAGATGTCGTGTCTTTCTGTCCTGCATCCTTTCCTCCATGGAGTAAAACCTCCTGACTCTTAACTTCCGGATTCTCTATCCCTCCCTGCAAAAGACTCCCATCATCTGTCAAGTAGCTAATGAATATAAGCTCATACTAGCAGCACTAGAGAGGCACTCACTATTTTAAAAGTCCTAGGGGAATACACGTGGTAAAAAAGAGGTTCAGATTTTTAAAAATATACCTCTGGGTTTTAAGGGGGGTAGCTTATACTTGTTCAAAAAGTTTTCTAAAATACACAGATATACATTGCAAACACAAACAGGGAGGTACACAACAAATAAAACATTTAAAGAGCACTACCTTATCAAAGGGATTCCCTTTGCTTCCTTCAAAGGAGGCAACCCTTTCCCATATTCTGACAACACCAAAAATAAGGCAAAAATAAGGCACCGGTCCCACTCAACACCCAAGTAAAGGCCCATACTGAGAACTGGGTCTCAAGTAAGTCACTCTGCTCATCAGTAAAGAAGGGAGCTGGACAGAAGACCCCATGTTCCCCTCTCCCCAGGTTAGGGGGTCTAATCTCACCTAATCCTCTCCTACACCTCCCTCAGGAGCTGGTACAGATACCCCAGGCATGCATTGACTATATGGTGAATAGCCACATCCTCACAGTGACTGCATGCTTACACACACACACACACACACACACACACACACACACACACACACACACACACACTCTCTCTCTCTGCAGGCCCATGCCCACAAAGTCCCGACTCCCCCAGGGACAGCCAGCTTACCGAGATATACAAAACACCCCACACCACCCAGAAGGAGAGGTGGGGAGTCCCTTTCCCTCAGCCAGGCAGTCTTCTGAGGCTGCTGACATCACAAAAGTGTCAACTGGCAACCTCATTGTCATGTGCCTCTCCCCTGGCTCCCCTTCACTCACAAACGCAGGGAAAGGGTGAGACCTTTCAGAGCCGCCAAGCAGGCAAGCTTCCAGCAGCAGTCTGGGAGTGAGCTGGCGGCAGAGCCACCAAGCTGGGCGGCGGGGCATCGGGCCTCACGGTTCAATTTCTATTCAGTTCTCCTGTAATGGAAAATTGCTTTGCACAAAGCTAGAGTGTTACAGTTCTTTCCAGCGCCCCTCCCCTTCCCCGCCCCCACCTCCCACCGGCAGCCTTTGGATCAGAGGGACAGCGCCTGCAAGAAGGTGGAAGGAGGGTTGTTGTGGCTTCTTACTATGTCCCTTACTTCAGGCCCTGGCCCCGGGTGGTTACTCTTTTCCTTTGGAATGGGACTGGTATCGGGGTCAAAGTGTCCCAATAATTGTCAGTGTCAAGACCAAGAAGTGATCTGCACAGGGAGCCAGCTGACTGAGTACCCCCTTGACATCCCCCTGAACACTCGGAGTCTCTTCCTGAACAATAACAGAATCACTAGCTTGCCAGCAATGCATCTAGGACTCCTCAGTGACCTTGTCTACTTGGACTGTCAGAACAACCGAATTCGAGAGGTGATGGACTACACCTTCATTGGAGTCTTCAAACTTATCTACCTTGACCTCAGCTCCAACAACCTGACTTCCATCTCCCCATTCACCTTCTCGGTGCTCAGCAATCTGGTGAAGCTGAACATTGCCAACAACCCACACCTGCTCTCTCTCCACAAGTTCACCTTTGCCAATACCACCTCTCTGAGGTACCTGGACCTCAGAAACACCGGCTTGAAGACCTTGGACGGAGTTGCCTTTTATCACCTTAGTGTTCTTGAGACCGTGTACCTGAGTGGAAACCCCTGGATGTGCAACTGCTCTTTCCTGGACTTCGCCATCTTCTTGATAGTGTCCCATATGGACCCCTCAGGTGAGGGCTTGATTGCGTGTGGGGAAGAGGATGTGATGGAGGAGGGACTGGCTCCAGAAAGGGGAAGTCAAAACGTGGTCAGGAGGGGAGAACATGCTGGGTGACGCTGATTGAAAGCATTCTTATGACTCTGCCCGGCCCATCCTTGAGTTGACCAGAGTGGCCATAAGAAAAAGTTCTGAAATAGAAATCCACAGAGCTGAGTCCTAATCCCAAACTCAGCATTTACTAGTTGGCTGCCCTTGGAAAAGTCACCATGTCTCTGAACCTCAGTTTCCTGATCCATAAAGTAGGGACAATAATATTACCTAACATACAGAGTTGTTGTGTCAAATATGTGATGTGTGTAGAAATGATAAAGTACTATAATTGCAAAGGGAAAAAGTCATGTAGAGACACTGTATTCTGTTGGTGAACTGTTTTCATCTGTTTAATTTGGTAGCAATTTCCCCAGGAACTAAAAGTAAATTCAGTCCTTCACAGGCAGCAGAGAATCCAATGAGAGTACAATATACAGAAGGGAAAGTTCGATAGAGATCGAAGTTGGAGGGGGGCCACAAGCTACCTAGACAAAGGTGGGGAGGAGAGAATGGAGAAGACAAACCCTCTGACAGTGCTTTGCTCTCAGCAGGAAGGAGAGGATGGCTTAAACCGGTGCAGAAGGGGTTCAAGGGTTCACTGTGTTGAGCAGAGACCTTCCAATCTCACCGGCAGATTCTGGAGTCTTACCTGAGGGATGCCCAAGCTCGTTGCTGCCACTCTGCCCACTGTCCCCATCTCTCTGCGGTGGCCCCTGACCTCACTCCCTCTTCACCCCAGACTCTTTTACTGTCCTGTCTTTGTCCTCCTGTCCTCTCTCACCACCAATAGCAACCGAGGAAGTCAGAGCTTCCGAGAAATGAGAAATAGCTCCTCACAGAAAGCCTGGAGCCATTGATACAATCTGGCAAACTCAGACTCTGGATGGAAAATCAAACCCTACAAAACCATTCTTCTCTCCCTTCCCTGGGTGTTTGCCTTTGAAAATGTTTTCACAGGCTCAGCTTCCCAAAAGTCCTGCTGAAGCTTCCACCATGAAGTTCTGCCCACGTGGCAGTATCCTAGGAATATTCCTGGCCAGAATGACAAACTTCAAGGGGAACTGGGGAAAAGGGAACCTAGTGGCAAATGCAAATAAAACTGTGCCCTCTTGGCCTCCCAATGGGTATGTCTTAAGACGTCTTCCAGATAGAGCCTGGATAGGGGTGAAGCAAGCCTAGCTCCTAGCATGCAAGATTTAAGGAGGCACCCAGAGTGCATGCACTGAGACTGAGTGCCTCATTAAATTTTGTGCCCTAGGCACCTGGCCCTACTGCCAGATAATTCTGTGTGAGTTGTTAAAATAAATCAAAAGGGACTAATTTTGTCAGATCGCCTTCTTAACTGGACACACATAAAAGGAAACAGGAGCAGGTCTCTTAGGCAGGCTGGCTTGCCTCTCTGCATCACCTTCTCTAAGAGCCAGAGGTAATATCTTCTGCTTTTCTTCATAATTGGTGCTGTGATGGTCTCTAGACAGCTCTATAAAAGAGGGTCAATGTCAACCATTCCCATGCATAAAATGTGGTTCCTGTATGGGAGTCTCCCCTGTCAACATTCATGGAACTACTTCCCCACCATATATGCATGTTTCCCTTGGGCAGAGCCCATCAGGTTGCTCGGGGCTGAAAGAGCCAAGTAGTGGCTTCCACTCCAGCCCCTAAGCCTACCACTTCGCCTCCCACTCAATCTCCTTAATCAAATTTCTGCTTGCAGGGTTGTGTCTTCTCAGAATCTTCAGGCAGACCACTTTGGACTCTTTAACTCTTCAGTTCAATCCACGATTGAATAGGATTATAAACTAGGTCTGTTTCATTGCGTATTTTTAAAGACATAAGAAGGGGAAATCTATCTTGCAAGCTCATAAGCTCCTCATGAATGAGAACTCCATCTTGAGAGGCAGACAAAGCTTTTAACTCCACACATGCACCCGCTGCAGATTTGGCCATCTCCCTCTGCTGTGTAGTGACCCTGAGGAAACCCTTCAGGCCAGTCCATGCAGAAATACAATCCCACTGCTCCAGTTCACTATTGTTATCGCCTAAAAACTTGAGCAAGCCCAAGACCAGATACAAGGATAGCTTATATTCCTATAGGGCTTGCAGCCCAGGGGAGTTGCTCCACACATAGTGTCTTATTTTCTTACTATGAGTGTCTCACCAACCTTTAAATTTTGTGTCCCAAGCTAGGATTGGTATTTTTAACCCTATTCTTGGGTGAAAAAAATGGTCAGACTTGCCCAAAATTACACAGCTAGTAAATGGCAAGGAAGTGATTTGAACCTCTTGATTTCAAATTCAGATATTTTGTCATGAGACTATCCTATCTCTTATATCCTCAAATTACATAATATCATTCTATAAGTGAGTTTTGTTATAAATATTAATCATGTTAAAAGCATATGGCCATAGCATCCAAACATCGGCTTTATTTCTGATCCGGCTACCTCTTGGAACTTCCTCATGATCATTTTCATTAGATAATGAGCACTAGCCATCATCAATTCAGTATGACACATCTGTGCTTTCCTTGCAACCCTCGGGTTGCCCCTCATCTGCCCAAACTCTAAAAGGATGAATCTAACTTGGTGTCTGCTCTCATTTGGGCCTTACTGAGCCTGGTTCTCCCTTCCCATACACACATACACACATTCACAGACATGCCCACAAACACATAGACACACACATGAGCACACACATATACAAACATAAAGGTATACCCACACACATATACCATATATACATATGTAGTACTTATATACTCACCCACATATTACATACACATAACACACACACATGTACAGACACACCCACACACATGCACAAACACACACATACACATAAAGTTGAACACACATACAGTGAAATTCACTAGATTCTCTTGCCCTGTAGCTGGACCTCAATGTAAGGAAAGACAATTAATTCACTGGACTCTAACCTCTCTGAACTTCAATTTCCTCATCTTTAAGACAGGCATAATAATAGAGTCAACATTCCTAGGACTGTTGGAAAATGAAATGAGAACCTTTATGAACTGCCATTAGCATTAAGCTTGACACACCGTAAGCACTCCAAAAACAAATGGTTGGTAGACATAGGAAAAGTTTGGGACACTAAGAGAGTAGAGTGGCAGACAGCAGTCAGGTGGTCCTGGACTTCAGGAAGTGGGCTTCGGGAATGTCCAGTATATCTGCTGTTTGAGGACAGTGTACCCTGTCTAGAAACATGACTAAAGAGATGCAGGTGGGAATGCAGATAGGATGCAAGAAGGCAAACAACTGGGCCCAAGACTTTAACCCCTGAGAAAATGAGGCAAGGAGAATCCTGGAGGGAGTCAAGTATTAAACAAGTTAGGAACACAGTTCAGATCCCAGGGATCAAAAGCAGGAGGCCAGACCAAGCTTGGTCTCAGCCTGAGCCATGAGACCCAGGGCTGGACCAGCTGCAACAAGATGGCTGCTCCTGAGTCACCTGAGTCTGGGGCTGAAGTGCTACCTAAAGACAAGTTCCACTTCCAGAGGCTGGTGTGGATGTACAAACAACTTTCTAGGGATGAGGGCAAGGAAGTCAGTCCAAGTGTGGAGTAGACGGAGCCTTGGGAGAAAGAAGTCACCAACAGAATGTGATCCTGTGATATAAGAGCACTGAGCCACACCTTTGTCATTATTTCCCCATCCACTACCTACCAGTGAGCTGCAACTAGCCATTAGAGATTCACCCCTGTATCCCCCAAAAAGGAAGACCCTGCAAAAATACATGAGCTCCTGGGAAGAATAATACAAGTGTCCCTAAGTCTTTATCAGCTCTCACATCAGAGAGGGAGTGAATTATAGGGAAATTTAATTAGCTTAGATTAATTCTTAACAGTGGGGAGCCTTAAAGGAAACAGAGGTGCAGGAAGGAAATAGAGAGGTCTTAAAGAAAAGGAATGAAGTTTGGGCATGGTGACTCCTGCCTATAATCCTAGCACTTTGAGAGGCCAAGGTGGGAGGATTGCTCTAGTCAAGGAGTTCGGGACCAGCCTGGGCAACATAGCAGGATCTCATCTCCACAAAAAAATCAAAATATTGGCCAGACTCAGTGGTTCAGCCTGTAATCCCAGCACTTTGGAAGGCCGAGGTGAGTGTATTGCCTGAGCCCATGGGTTCGAGACCAGCCCGGGCAACTTGGTGAGATTTCCTCTCTACAATAAATCAAAAAATTAGCCAGGTGTGGTAGCTTGTGCCTGTAGTTCCACCTCCTTGGAGGGCTGAGGTGGAAGGATCACTGGAGCCCAGCAGATTGACGCTGGGGATTGATTGCAGTGAATGTGCCACTGCACTCCAGCCTGGGCCACAGAGTGAGACTCCAACTCAAAAAAAAAAAAAAATCAAAATATTAACTGGGTGTAGTGACACACTCCTGTAGTCCCAGTTACTTGGGAGTCTGAGATGGAAGGATCTCCTGAGCCCAGAGGGTTGAGGCTGCAGTGAGCCAGCATGGTGTCACTTCATTCCAGCACAGGTGACAGAGTGAGACCCCCAAATCCCCCCACAAAAAATAAAAAGCATGAGAGTCAATAATTTGTCTCTCCCATATCACTTTTTGACTAAGGGCACCTTCAGTGGAAGGCTGTAGAGAAAGTCTAGTATTTAATTCCCCTTGTTTCATCATAAGACTACTCTGAACGGGAATATTAAAACCTTCCCAAATGGGCATTCTTGGGATGCTATTTGATGCTATTATCAAAGATCTGAACCAAAATAAATTCCCCAATGACATACTCACCAGATTTACTGAAAAGCATTCAGTCCTAAAAGAGTTCACATATTCACTTTCTAAACACAAAACTTACAGCAGAAATGGAGGTATATATGTATCTACTGTCAGGGTGCTCCAGTGAGCCCTGATCAGTATACAGAGTTGAAACAGACATAATTCAAT